GGGCCGCGGGGCAGCCGGTGCTGAGCAGGTTCTTCGGGGCGGCGGCGAGCGGCGGCGAGTGCGGGCCCCGCTACACGGTGCGCAGGGTGGGGCGGGGCGGGCACGGCCCGCTGTCCCGGTATCCGTCCCGGTATCCATCCCGGTATCCATCCCGGTATCCGTCCCGGTATCCATCCCGGTATCCGTCCCGGTATCACGGACACTGCGGGACAGGCTCGGGACAGGCTGCCGGGTCCCGGCTGTACGATCTGTGTGGGCGCTGGTACCTGGGTGCTCGGGGAGCAGGCTGGCAGGAAGGACACGGAGCTGCTGGAGAGGGCCCAGGGGAGGCCACGGGGAGGATTTGGGCTCTGCAGCATCGCTGGGCTGGGCTGGGCAGGGTGGAGAAGGGAACACTGAGGGGGGATCCATCCGTCCAAACATCCACCCACCCATCCAAACATCCATCCATCCTTCCAAACATCCATCATCCATCCATCCATCCATCCATCCATCCATCCATCCATCCATCCATCCATCCATCCATCCATCCATCCATCCATCCATCCATCCATCCATCCATCCATCCATCCATCCATCCATCCATCCATCCATCCATCCATCCATCCATCCATCCATCATCCATCCATCCATCCATCAGCCAGGGCTGCCAGAGCACGGGCCGGGCTCTGCTCAGGGCTGCCAGTGGCAGCAGGAGCAGCAGTGGCCATCCCATGGAGGGCAGCGAGGTGCAGGCCAGCAGGAGGGAGAACTCGTGTCCATGGAGGGGCAGAGGCCTGGAGCAGCTGCCCAGGGAGGGCCTGGAGTGTCCCTGTGTGGAGCCGTGCCAGCCCCAGCTGGACACGTCCTGTGCCACTGCCCAGGGGACCAGGTCATCCTCAGGCATCCCTTCCTGCCCCAAATATCCCGGGATTCTGTGATACAGGATGTGCCTGGTGCAGAGGAGCTGGAGCTTGGCACTGGTTTCCTGATCTGGGCAAGGCCAGCCTGTTGGTCCATATCATTGGGACTTCAGTGTTGAACCCCTGTGCCTTCCAGTTCTGCAATATGCTAAGATATTCATAAGTAAGGATATTCTCTGAGGTTTGATCTTTGTGTTCTTTGAAGCCTGATCAGCCAGAAGTGGGACCTGATCAGTGGGACAGGCAGCAGCTGCATCCCTTAGTCAAGGGCTCCTGCAATTAGCAGGTTTTAGGGATGTAGATCAGGATGTTGGTGCAAGCCACGTGCCTGGCAGCCTCGTGGAGATGCTGAGGGCAGCAGCAGACCCAGCCCTGCAGGCACACAGCCCCGGCCCTGGGCAGGGGCAGATCCTGGCTCTGTCTTTGAGCTAGGAACGCCAGTGAGGGCAGGGAGAGGGCAGGGCTGGGCTGGAGCGGCTGCCTCCGCTGTCCTCTGAAGGGTGTCACTGCTGCTCGCTGAGGAATGAATCCCATTTTTGGGCAGCTCTGCCGTGCTGTGAGCCCTGCTCCTGTCCCAGGTGCTGGAGGTTAGGTAACTCGGGGTCTGAGTGCTGGTAGGTGCACGGCCAAAAGAGCCTGCAGATCTTCCCTGTGTCAGCACTGGGGAAAAGTGGCTGTGTCTCAGCAGTTGGGTTTCATTCTGAGTTCATCCCTGCAGTTACTGTTTCCAGCCCCTTCCCCGCCCTGGAAGGCTGTTTGGTTTTTTTTACCTGTGACTCAAGTCAGCTATTTTGGTCCAAATATATTTTGAAAGGTGTGATTACATCTTTCTGCCCTAGTAGAATAAACTTCCTAATTAGTGTTACTTTGGTGATGTTTCACAGTGGGCTTGAAAACTGCTACTCATGTGGGCTGTGGTTATGTGGAGGTTTTGGGTTTAGTTGGTGAGGCTGGAGTTCCTGCTTAGTTCTAAGGAAATTGAAATTCCATGGTTAAACCATCTGTGGTCACGAGATGAGATGTGGATGCAAGCTGCTGAAAGCACCTGTTGTGTGCTCCTGTGCAAAGTGTTTATGTTTTGTTGGACTTAGGAATTAATTCTTCATATTTGGTCAAGCTTCTTGCAAAAGGTCAATGATGAGACAGCAAAATTGGTGAATTTTCTATTTACATAGTGTTCTAACTGCATGTTTTAAAAGACATCTAAGGAGCAGGATGCTCCAAGCTCCTCCATCCTGGCCACCAGCAATACCAGGGGTGGGAGGTTGGACTATTTTGCCTTAACTTATTGTGAAGTTGCTGTGTTCTCTTTCAGAGAAGAGCAAACAGAAAAAGTAACTGGAGTTATTAGTTTAATTTATGTTTCAGGCTTCTAAATGTGGCACAAAAAGGAGCACATCTACTGAAAGCAATGAACCCTGTGAGAAGAAGACCAAGGCACGACAAATTACCCTGGAAGAGATCTGTAACCCACTGAAGGCTCAGGATAAAAGTGAGTTGACTCTTGGCAAACCTTCAAGCATTGGCAGCCAGTCAATGAGGTTTTCATTGTCAGCTGCTTTGTTGCCTCAGAAATGCCTGGGTTCCATCTGGCTTTGAGCAGAGAATTTAATAAGGTAATGTTGGTATGAAAACCAGTGAATGTAAAGTTCATTATGTTGCAATAGGAAGAATTAGGCTCTTGAGTTTCAGAGTGGGAACGGTATTAAATTTGTTGGTGTGGTGCTTTGAAGTATCACTAGTACACCCTCAAGAGGCAACACTGTCTGCTTAAAGAAAAGCATTGAAAGAAAATCTGCTTGATTCCCAGTATTCTTAGCTAACTTTAGCTGTGCAGTTGTCAGTTTGAAAAATAATGATGCATCTTTTCCCACACGGAGAGAAGCACACAAGTGAGGAATGCTGGTTTTCTGGGGAAGTTAACCAAGCTGTTTAAGTGCATGATTCTGTCAGGCTGGCAGAAATACTGCACTGGGGGCTGAGAGGGAACGCAGGGAAGAGAGCATGGAGCAAAATGGTTGTGTCTGTGCTTACTGGTGTTCTTCTGATGGACGTTCTCTTTTAGAAAATAAGCTGTTAATATATTTTTGTTGTTAATTTTCACCAAGAAGAATCTCAGAAACATGAGAAGTCCCGTATCTGTTTGGAAACTCTGGGCAGGCTGAGAGAGTTCTGCAGTGATTCAAACCAGCAGTGTTCCAGCCTTCGGGAGGATGGCTTTCAGGAGAAAGAAAAATGTCCCAGTGTTACTGGGAGGAGCTCAGAGCTGAAAAATCCTCTTCCATCTTGGGACAGCGGCCCAAAGGTCGCACAGAAGGTATGCAGAGCTTTGGCCCTGTGGGCTGTGTGGATTGCTTGTTGTGAGTTAAACCAGCAGGCTTTGGCACAAGCTTCCCTTTGTGCCCTGACGTGGGGCGGTGCAGCAGATCCCCAGGGAGCTGTGTTTGTGTACAGATGTTTTCCTGAAGCTCCCTGCGTGGTGAGCAGGTTGGCTGATCCGGCTCCTCGGTGAACAGCAGCGTCACGAGGGGACAGAAGCCCTGTTGCTGTCACCTGTGGGGGAAGCTGTAACACCCTGTGGCACGTGTTCAGAGGGGCACTTTGCTCAGCTTGCTTTCATTTCCACATGTGGGCTCTCAAACCTCCAGCAGGCTTTCTTTGCAAAAATGTTGTGAAGGGTTATCACTGAGATGTGGCTTAATCTAGCTAGTAAAGGTATCACTGCTTTTTCATCTGCAGGAGGTAGGGGTAGCTCAGAGAAAAAATTGTCATGAAGATATGTACGGTGCAAGTCAAGAGACTTGAGTGGAATAATAGTATTTTGCATTAACATAAGTTAATGATGGGGTTTGGGGGTCAGCTGCTCAGGTCCTAGAATGCATCTCATGCCTTACTGTGGTGGCTGCTCTTTAGTGGAGTTCTGCAGCTGGCTTTTTGACAGAAGGAGCTTGTATGAAAAGATGATTTTAACCTTCTCTGTCTCAGAGCTGTGGTCTTCAACTGGGGGGCTCTGCTTTGTGTGGATGTGGGGTCCAAATGCTGAAGTGAGCAGCTTGTGGCAAGAGAATTCTCTTGTGGTAAGGGGTTGAGGTTATGAGGATGGGGTCAGTTGGAGAACCCAGAAAACTGATTTTTCCTGCCTTCCTTGGAAGGGGTCCTTTTAGCTGTTTGTGTCTTGCTTTTTACTTGGTAACCTTCCTCCAGCTGGTAACTTAGACCATCTCAACAAGTCAGCTTTTGTGTTTGTTTCTACTCCTTGTGCCTTTTTTCATGCCCTTATTTCACGGGTTTGTCAGTTCCCTGTAAAATGAGACAAGGTCACCCTGTTTGGCTGGCACAGACCTTGGACCAAAGGATTGTGCAGCAGAGACATCTGAGCTCCTGAAGGCACCCAAGTTCTGGGTGCAGGGCAGCTTTATTTGAGCTGGGCTGGGTTCTTCTGGCTTAGTGGTGTGCAGTTGTGGGGATTTTGCAGGTACAGCTAAGTGCTGTTTTTCCCTGGTTGTTCTCTGACTGCACACTTTGTACATTCCCGTGACCCAAAGTATATAAGTATATGATTTAAGCTATCTCTGTTTGATTTTTTTTTTTCTGAATTGCTGCTAAACAGTCTGCTCACTTTGTTTCTGGTAATCTGAGCAGGACCTTTGGTGAGATTACAAGAAATGGAAGTTTA